GTAATCTTTTAAAAAAATGAAAATACCCGTGAGAAATATCTTAACAGTTAATATTTTTCTGCAATCTGCAGAGTTAGATTTTTGAAGCCTGGCTGGCATCTTTGCCATATTGTGCCGTCCACATAAACGTGTCGATGTATTCCGGCAAAAATTTTGAGCTCATCGCCGCCAACCGTCGTAAGTACTGTTTCAGTCGTGACCAATAGGCTTGACAAAATAAGCGATACGCCACCTAGAGTTTTAATTTGAAACCTTCCAGTGGGCAATTAATGTTTTGTTTACTCATGTGATTGAAGCATAATATAGGTTAATCTTACGGTTTCTGTTTGTATATGGTGTTTTAAAGACGTTTAATTAATAAAATTATTGTTTATTTTATCAAAATGAACCATCACTGTTGTGTTCACATGTGTTCCTCTTGGGTAAAACTAAATAAAGAACTTAGTTTTCATACATTTCCCAAAAAAGGACAACGTGTTTTGGTAGAAACAAAATTAGGGAAACGAGTAGCTGTTGATCGGAGGGAGGAATGGATAAGGAAATTAAAAATTGGAAAGCCTGTGAGTCCGTACATGAGAGTATGTTCATTGCATTTCTCTGAAAACGATTATTTTTATAGAGGTTAGTATTTAGTCGTTTTTTGTGTTTCCGTATTAATAGTTTTTGTTTGTAGGGGACAGCTCTAAATTACGTAGATTAAAATTTAATGCAGTACCGTCTAGGAAGTTACCTTTGGAAGATGAAAATCAACCTGGACCTTCTTCTTCTAGAAGTTTAAGGTTAGAAAATAGGCAACATAACAAAACGAAAACATTGTTACAAGAAGAAGCAGAAAATCCAATAATAGTGGCTGAAGAAAAGTGCACATCTCATAATGAAGAAGACGCTGGTTTGGAACATACAGAAGAGGAAATGCAAGCTGCAGAACAATTAATAAGTTTGTTGCATTCACAACCCAACTATTGTGGCCCAAAAAGTTTGAAAGATTTTGGTGTACAAGTTAATACTTCTGAGGTATTAACACTAAGCCACTTTATTAAAACTGAGTCAGCACTTAATAGTTTTACGGGTATGAACAATTTTAAATTATTAAACTGTTTAGTGCATCAGCTAGAGAAAGAGCATTTAGAGAAAAAGATGCATCGTTTATCTTTGAAAGACAGAACAATCCTTGTGATGACCAAACTTAAAACAAATCTATCTTATGCCACATTGGCTGTTCTATTTGGCATATCTCCGCCATTATGTAGATATTATATTTTGGAATTAATACCTGTTTTAAGTAAAATTTTGTCAGCTGCCATATACTTTCCAGATAGAAAAGAAATTAAAAATAATATGCCCAAGTGTTTTAAAGAATTTTCTAATGTGCGGATTGTGCTAGATTGTACGGAAATTTATATTCAAAAGCCAAAATGCTTATGTTGTCGAATTAAATTCTACTCCTATTATAAATCTAACTTAACTGTAAAATTTATGACAGGTGTATCACCTGGAGGACTAATTACTTTTGTAAGTGAATCTTATGGAGGAAAAGCATCAGATAAATGTATTTTTGAAAGCAGCAATTTAATTTCAATGTTAACACCTAAAGAAGATACCATAATGGTAGATAAGGGGTTTCTAATTGATGATATATGTAATGTTAATCAAATTGAGTTAATTAGACCCCCATTTTTAAGACAGCAAAGACAGTTATCAGCCACTGAAGCTATTTTTAACGCAAAAATAGCCTCTGCTAGAGTTCACATAGAAAGGTCTAATCAAAGGATAAAAATTTTTGATATTCCATCAGGTAAATTAAAATGGTCATTAGTGCCTTATGTAAAGGACATTTTTACCATTATATGTGGAATTACTAATCTTTCTTCCTCTATCTTGGCAGATCAAAGATTTTTAACAGAATAATTTTAATATTATATCTAGTGTTAGGTAAAATTGTTAAGAATACTCACGATTAAATAATATACTAGTATACTTTATTTTTTTTTTATTTTCACAAATCAGACCGAGTCCGAGTACATAAAACATGTAACATATTTTCAAAATATCTTTCTTTGAGAGTTAAAAGCATTGTTTTTGAAAATTCATAATCAAAATCAACCTCTACAATTAGTCCAGAATCATCAAAAGAACCAAATATAAATAAGATCGCTTTTTTTAAATTTAAAATCGCCATCCCCATTTGGACCTGTCCATAATATTGATGTTTCTTTAATTTATATTTTCCATTTTCATGGATCAAATACTTGACAGTTTTTACAGCCTCGGCTATAGTCTTAGTTGCTCCTAAATTAAAAAATATGTTTTATAAAATAATATGTTTATAAATCGATTCAATTAATTTTATGTAGATATAACCTGTAAATGTGTGAAGTATTTAATTATTTTTTACAACCATTTCAAGCTGTAAAATGCTATAGGTTAATATAAAATACTACCTACTTTACATATTAGTTGTTTTATTACCTGCAAAAATACATTTAATTTCCAACAATTGATGTGGTCTATCATTTTCCATAATCACACCATCTGGAGAAAATCCAAGCTATGGGTTTGAATGGCTTACAATCATACCACATTCAAATACCTCTGATTTGGTCAGATCTTTAAAAACGGTTCTTGCCTGCGACTCCCATTTTAAACCGTGTTTAACAAACTTATTACTAAACGAATGTTCGTAAAAATATTTTACCGTTTTAGTCTCCCAGTCATTTTTTTAATATCTATATAGAGAATAGCAACGACTTCCAGTTATTCTAAATTTTTTATATATCAACCATTCTGGAGTGTGTTGTGCAGCTTTCATTATCAAATCAATATCATCGGAACACAATCACTGAAACATTTCATCGCAACAATCTTTTAAACCAACTTTCTTTGAAAATATCTCCATCATTATAATGGATTGCGAAGCATTGTCCAGCACTATTTTGTTTATACAATTATCCAAATGAACTTCCTCCAGAATACCATCCTTATCAATAAAATGTCTTCTACCGGTTCTAAAATAAATTTTGTTAAAATCCGCAAAATATATTAAATTTCACAATTATACCTATGTTTTGAAATTGCTGACTGAGGCAAGTTAGCACAAAAATAGTTTAAAACTTCAGAATTACTGATTTGAATATTGCACGATGGGACCTTATTTACCAAACAAGGCATTTCTTTTACTGGTACTGGTTTGTATTTTTCCCTGGTAATTAGTTTCTGGATTGACCAAGCACATTTCAACTGTGTTTGTGAAATATTTTCCAAACTTTGTATATCCTCCCTAAAACAAAAAACACAAAGCAGAAAAGAGAAGTATAAAAAAAAAGGAAAACATCAATATCAAAATCGAATTTCCTTGATAGTGCTTTTTTGGTTTTGGTTACTTTAGCACATTTAATTAGAAATGCTGAAATATGCTTGCCCCGCCCACTTTGTCCAGCTTTACAAGAGCAAACCATTCGTTCAATTTGTGCTTTCTGATTCCCTATTTTAAATAGTCCCTCGATTTTATAGGGTTCATTCTCCAATGCTGATGACTGAAGGCACAAGGCAATAATATTCACGGATGTTGCTGTGGATTTCGTTTTACCCGCTAATATTAGATGCCCAGCATTTAAAACGTGTTCACCTTCGTAAACACATTTTGAATTTTTGGTCCCTTCTAAATACTTCATATAGTCGACAATACTAAGCCTAATTTCACTCATCTGCAAGTAAAAATAGTATTATGTATTTAGGTTATGGGTTAATGTAATATAAGGTAAACATACCTTTGCTAAATAAATACACTGCCACTATCTATAAAAATGTTTAATTAATACATATATAACCAACACTAAAACTAACAAAATCCTTTACACACTTTAAATACGAAAAATTCAACACCTAATCTTACGAAAAATCTATGGCATGTCATATGAAAACAAATGTAAACAAACTATAAATGGCTCAGCGGAGGACGAAAAAGTGACCGGTAGAGGCGCTGGAGTCTAAGCTTTTTTCGCCTATAACCCTTCACGTGATTCGTACACACACCTGTTTCTGGGTCTCTAAAATATTTAGCATGATTTACCGTTTTGTGCGTATAACCAATGTTTTTTAATTGATTATGCGCCCTCCACTGATCAGTCCAAATTTCTGATCCGGGACGAACCACGCGACGAATTATCGGAATCAACGTCGCAGCTTGTCTATTGTCAACGTATGTAATGTATCCCGTCTTTGTCGTTACGTCATAAATTCCGAGTACCCATTTTTCCGGAATACATCGGCCACGATTATATTTTCTTTTTGTGATGACAGACTCGTCTATCTGCACAACATGGCCATCTCCTCCTACAATTAAAAAATATTTTTAATAAAATATAAATTTATAAATATTTTTAAAAATTTACCCAATATAGATAGTTCCTCTTCTTTAATTAGTTTCCAACTAATTATGTCTCTGCTGATGCCAACCATTGATGCTGCACAGCCGGTCCTAATTTCACATGTCCAGCACCACATAACCATTAAAACATTTCGAACCGACATCTTCATTTTTTCAAAAAATAATTTTTTCAGCACAGAATAATCTGCGCGACATTTTTGACAGTGAAATACCATGTTTAAATTATTAGCACCTTCTTTTCTCCTAATAGTGCAAATGTTTCTGCAATTTCTCTTCTCACATTTAAAATTGTTTTTTAATAAATTTAAATTTAACAATCTCTTCATCACTTTTGTTAATAATATTTATTAAATCGTGAATATTCTTCACTTCCATCTTTTAGATAGTCAGATAATCCTAGCAATCTTATACAAAAATTATTTGACAGAATATTTCAGAAAAAAAAACGCATACTTGATTTAATAAAAATAAATGTAATATAAATGTAATAAGAGAACCTAATCGCTAAAAAATATTAGTCAACAAAAAATCGATATTTTTTTTTCAACAAATTTAACAAAATAAACTATATGAAAGTACGTACAGTTAAAGGTTTCAAAACCAAAAACGAATTTTTAAAAATTGACTTTATTTCGAATGCTGTAAGATGAGAACTAACTAGAAATTTATGTTTTTACACTATTTATAAACTATGGTTAATCGTATCATATTTCTAAGCGTCTAATTATATTCTTCACTATTCCTGGAATATAACTCCTCCACCCCTGGATGGAAGCACAGCCCTTATGGATGTGGTTCAGGACATCAGACGACAATTTCTACTTCGTTTGGTGGTTGGATTCTTCTTTGACGATTAATGATGCAAACTTTTCTTAAAATTCAAAATCCTATTATAGAACCAATTGAAATGTATAAAAGGATTGTCCATATACTGGTCCTTTTAAAATAAATTGGAGTGTTGATGGTTTTTAAATATTCTTTTTGAATTTCGAGTTAAGTTTGTATTTCTTGGGTTTCCTTTAAACTAATTGTTCTAAGGTCCAGTGAGGGTGGATCAATTTCTTGAATTTGAGAATTTTTGAAATTTACAGCCCAATTCATTACTGGAAGGTGAACGTCAATAAAATTTAGTTGATTGATTTTTGTTGTCACAAATCTAAATGATTTTATATGAACTGTACAATCAGGAGTTGATTCCAGTAGTAGGGTTCCATGGATTGGCACGTTGTCCTTTGAGTCCTGGCAGTGAATTATGGCAATTTCTTTATTAGGTGCGGTTATTAGCCATTTTCCATCGTTGATTTTGATTGATTGGATAGTATGTAGGCGAATATGAACTAGTTGACACGTGGTGACCTTTGATTTGTAAGTAAGTAGCTGGACGGCACATGGTGAGTCCTCTGAGGTAAAGGATTTATGAGTTTCTCTGCATATGTACTCCTTAGACTGAATATGAATACAGGTTTGGTCCATATATAAATGAGCTTTGTCAGTAAGTGCTAGGAATGGTTTATACGGGAGGTGAAAATAAAATTCGGAAATATTTCCAAGGACTTTTAACTTCAATTAATTTTTCATATTTAAGAATATTTTCTAATATTGGTTCAAATGGTAAAAAAATCTATATTTGATTTAAATTCAGATGTTTTCATTTCTTTTAATAAATCTAAAGGATTTACTATTGAATTATGTAACGTATTCATTTTAGCAAATGAAATTGCAATTTCTAGTTTTTCTAAAATATCATAAATTGTTTGATATAACATAATGGGTCAGGTGAATAAAAACAAGTAAATGCCTTTACTTGACATTTTTTAAGTTTTTACTTGTTGGTAATTGAATAATAAAAGTACTTACTCGCGTTCAGGAGTAAATACTTGTACTTGCCTTGATGTCAAGTAAACACTTAAAATTAGGTGTATAAAATAACGTAAAAGTTTCTACTTCAGAGTAAGGTCTCACTTTGATGCAAGGTTGGTCAGAGCATACTCGTCATACAAATTTAAATCAGAATGGCTGCTTTTATGCATGTACGTGCTAGAAAAACTTATAAACAACGTAAAAATATAAGCATCGATAGTTGTAAAACATTATTACGCTTTGAAAGTGAAAATATTGATTTCCTAAGTGATTATTTTTTGAATGACGTCACAGAAACTCGAGGTGGAGCACTAAGTAAAAGGATGAAAATGGAAATTTTTTTACGTTATGTTAGTGATCCAGGATTTCAGAGTTGTGTTGCTTATAATTTTGGAGTGAATCGAACAACAATTAGCAAAACATTAGATACTGTTATGGACGCCATTATGGATAAAGCCAACCACTGGATTAAATTTCCATCAAGTGCTGAAGATATAAACAGGGCTAAGGCAAAATGGAATTCAAAATTCGAAATACCTACAATAGTGGGTGCATTGGATTGTACCCATATTGAAATAAAAAAACCCGTTCAGTTTGGAGATGATTATATAAATAGAAAGGGTAGAGCGTCAATAAACGTGCAAATGACATGTGATGCGGATAAAAATATAACTAGCGTTGATGCACAATGGCCAGGAAGCGTTCATGATAGCAGAATATGGAGACAAAGTTCCGTACAAAATATACTACGTCAGTTCAGGGGGACTGCTGCTTTACTTGGTGATAGCGGCTATGGTATATCACCTTGGCTTCTAACTCCATTTCGACAAACAAATACGAGAGAAGAAGAACTGTACAATCACATCCATACAAGAGAAAGAGTCATAATTGAACGCGTATTTGGTCAAATGAAACCAACGTTTTCCTATCATGGCGAATAAGATACGATTGAAAATCACAAAAGTGCCTAAAATAATAGTTTGCTGTGCAGTATTACATAACATATCCAAGCACCTACAAGACGAATGGGATTATGAAGAGCCGCTTTTTGCCGAAAATGAAGAAATTATAATAGAAGAGGGAGCAGTGGAGGTACATAACAACGAAATTCGTGTGCAAGGTGAAATAAAACGTCAAGAAATTACACGAATTTTGAACCATCAGGACGAACGAACATAAGAAAAATTCAAAAATAGTTTTGAATATCGTATATACAAATACAAGCCCTTCAAATTTATTTTTATATTTAAAATACACAAAATTATTCTCTTGGCCTGGGGATCAGACCATGTTTACCACATGTTGATGGGGTCGTTGAAGCCGAATCTGGGGCCGATTTAACCCCAACATGTCAGATCTTCGCAATAACCTTAAGGGCAGCGTCTGCCTATATAAACTTGTCAGATATACTTTTTACGTAGAAGTCTAGAAAAATATACATCTTGACAATAATTTTAATATCTAAATCAGTTCATGAATTTTGTATACGCGCTATAATGAAATTTTAAGAACCGGAGTGTTTAAATGTATTCGAAAAAATACTTTTAGTTTTGAAGGAAATTCGTAGACAAGCCAACGATCCCAATTGGTTCATATTTTATAAGTTAAATACTTTTTTCGAGTATTTTTAAACAACTTTTGTTCTTAAGATTTCGTTACACAATTCATGGACTGATTTCGATATTAAAATTAATGCCATTAAGTTCCAAGCCATTTGAGGTTATTGCGAAAACCTGACTTGATATGGTTAAATGGACCCTGGATTAGCAACCCCAAAAATATGTAGTAAATATGGTCTAATCTCTATACCTCAAGAATTTTTTTTGTTTAGCTGTGTACTTGAAGTGCTTATTTGCAAAAGTTAACAAATCCTTTCGTGGAACAAATTGAGGCGTCAACTTCATAGGGTTCAAATCTGTCACTCTTATTAGAACCTGTTGTCATTTTCAACGAAAAGTAATAATTTACCTATCGACTAAATAAAGAAATTAATGGTTCGTCCCAAAACTTAACATGTCAACGACAAAACCATATTTAACATTTATTTTCTCTAAAATTGAAATATAGAGTTAAGTTTTACAAAGTAGCACTTCATTTTCCTTATCTAAATAGAATATTTTATTGATATTAAAAAGTTCTTAAATATTATAATTTTTTTTTATTAAACATTTTTATATAAACATTATCAAATATTTATTTTAAAACCAAGTATACTTGTAAAACACCGTCTGTGTCGTACTCAGATGTTATTCGATTTTGCTGGATACTGCGAGCATCTGATTCTTGAAGTCTTTTTATGAGTAACTCTTCACGCGTGATTTGTAGACGAGTAAGTCGTAACTGCTCAAGTAAAACTAAGCGCTGCAACTCGGATGTTGATAAGTGAGCTGTTTCTTCAGTTTCACTCTGCAATTTTCTTTTCTTCGGTGTATGTTGTATCACCTTTGTTGTAGCATCAGCGATGTCAACAGAAATTGGCGAAATATTCTGCACGAGATTTTTATTGGCAGTAGAACTTTGTGCTCCAATATCAACATCACCTGGTACCTTGACAAAAACAGGATTCTCATCAGATTTCATAAGGCGAAGAAAAACCTTTTCCCATTCAAGTAATTTTATTTTTTTATTCCCAGTTGCTAAAATGTCAGTTTTCTTTTTTACGGATGATTTCATATTATTAAGTAATTTTTTCAGTTGACCAACTGTTATCTCCTTTCCAGTATGTTGTATATATTCTTTTTTTATAGCTATCCATCCTTTTTCTTTCTGTTCCACTACTTGAGGTAACATAGATTTGTTAAGGACAACTTTGTGAATGTTTATTATATTTGCTACTATCGCTTATTACATTTTTTGGATAATCATCGTCAGAATCGCTAGTTGAAGACATCTTTTTACTGATATTTCTTCTTCAAAAACTAAATAATTTTAAAAGACAATCGGAACAGACGCAAGCTACTATTTAATGCAAAAGAAGTTGAGACTTGCAGATCAATCATGCATTGAAAGCACCGTGAGTATTTACTTAAATATTGAAGCGAATAAGGTATTGACGAGTAAACACTTGCGAGTAAACACTCGACACGATAAGTAAATTCTCACAAGTAAAAGTACTCTTTTATTCACTTATTAGGCGAGCAAATACTTTACTCGGGAGTAAACGCTTACAAGGATTTCCTTGTTTTTATTCACCTGACCCATTGATTTGATTTATTACTATAAAAGATTGAAAATAATCGTAATAATAATTATCTAATAAAATTTGTTCCTTAATTTTATATTCAATGGTCTCTATTCTTGATTTCAAGTTCAATTGATTGTGAGAAATATTTGAGATTAGGTTGTTAAAGGTTTTAATCGAACTTTGCAAAAGTGAAATTTGATCAATCGAATTGATTTTTAATTTATGTTGATTTTCCTGTAACTCGATGATTTGTCTTTGATATCGCTCCGCATCTTCTTGGTCTAGATTACCAGTTATGCATTTAATAAGAGAACCTAAAGGATTCAGCAAACCTGGTTTAATCCTATTTCCAAGTTTAAAAAGAGGATAAATTTGGCTAATTTGACTTTCTATTTTATTTTCTAAAGTTAAAAGAGGAATAAAAGAATTTTCAAATTCGGAATGATATCCATGATGAATTTTGAAATGTTCATTCAACTCTTTTGATTGGCTTTTAATTATCGAAAATTCCGATACAAGTGAAGTTAGGTTATAAATTTGAATAAAAGACCAGCGACTATTTACTATTTTAGTTGTACCCAATTTGTAAGGAAGGAGTCCAGGATAATCGTTTAAATTGTGGAACTGGACTGCGACGATGCCGGCGAGTCCAGGCGAGCCATCTGAAATTTTAGGTAATATTTTAGTCTCATTGATATGAACTATTATTTTCTTTTTATTTTTAGGATTTTTTAATTCTATTTTTCCGTTTTCTAAAATTTTTGTTAGTATGTAGGGTCCATTAAACTTCCGAGTTAATTTACCAGCTCTATTTTCGATTTTCCTATAAACTTGAGAACCAATTTTTGGATCTAAGGTCTTTTTATTGATATTGGCATGTGTTATATTTTTTCTTTGGCAATTTGAGATTCTTCTCGTACTTTATTATATAAGGCCGTTATATTATTTTGATGGGAATTTATATATTGTGTATAAGCTTGTGCTGGTATGAGTGCCATTGGATCACGACTATTTGTATGTCCTAATATTAATTCATAAGGGGAATACCCTGTACTAGAATGAATAGTGCTATTGTAAGCCACAATTACATATAATATTACGAAGATGTTCGGTTATAGTGGAGTTAAATCTTTCTACCGGTGAATTTGATTCATGATATGGCGTAGTGAAATGTATTTTGATATTATGGGATTTTAACAGTTCTTTTACAGTATCGTTTTTAAATTCCGTACCCTCGTCCGATACAATTTGCTTTGGGATACCAAAAAAGAAAAAGAAATGTACTAATTGCTGACAGGCTGAAATAACAATAAATTAATAAGAAAGTTATCTATCGCCCTTAGTACGCCTTGGGAACACACCTGCTAGCTCAGGAGCTGGGTTCTGAAATTTATACCGCGCCAGTGAATTTATATGGGCTGATCCAATTCACTAGATCCCTCGTTATTGTGAGGATAGAAAACTATAAACTCCAATAATCATTACTTTACTATTATTATTTACTGAGGTATAGTACTCACCTTAGACCAACACTACCTTGAACTATAGTAAACAAGTGATTTACTTTAAAAGAATTAAAGAGACTCACCTTAAAAGGTCCAGCGCTGTCAAACTGGACTAAACTGTCTTATTATCTTGTTTAAATGAAAAGCTCTGGTCATTGTTAATGGGGGTGGTTTATTATTGTAAATATTTTTTACAAATACATCAATTGGGATCTAAAATTAAGATCGCAGCGCCGTCTGTACTTCACTTTTGAACTACTTGTTATGGCTTGTTATTGTTTACATTTTTGTGTTTGTAAATAGCCCATAAAGAGTATTTTGTTTATTGTGTTTTATATTGTGCTTTTTAGAGAAAAAATATTGTTATCGTTATTTTGTAGTGACTGGACACTTTTATTTTAATAGTTTTTAGGTGAAAGTAAAAGTTATATATATTTATTTGGTAAGTAACCCATCCTTCCTCCATGAGTAACCCTCTATAAATTTTGTTTTTGAGTTAATTTCATTCATTTATAAGATGTTTTGTTATCTTTTAATAAAATATTAATATATTTGTTTTATTTTTAGTAAGATGTCTGAAATAAGGCTAAGTTTAATACAACTTATGAAATATATTGGTGGCAGTGAAAATTCTAGGACTGTTGTTGAGGGAGAGGCTATTTTAAATGCGGGCCATATAGTATTATGTGGGAAGAGTGAATCTAGTGATAAACATATATCTGTTTATGCCCTTGTTCTCCAAACTAGTGCCATGAATTCAGATCCCCATACTGTTGTAGGCCAGTTACTAATAAGTTCTCATTCACAAGTTGTAGAAATTGGAAAATGGCAGTGTTCGTGCAAAGCTGGGAAAAGTGGACACTGCAAACATATTTCAGGAGTCTTAATAAAGTGTTCTAGGTGTACAATGTTTCAAATAATAAAAGCACTATCAAGCTAATTCGATTGAACACCTTATATGTTCACTAACTTATTTTTGTGTTTCTTTTTCTGTTTCTTTTTTATTGTTTTAGGGAAAATCTTGCTGAATTAGAATTACTATCTCAGACTGATATTAAATGCATGTGGGCTGTCCAGAATTATGAGACAAAGGAGAAATACGAGGCAGTTTCTTTAAAAGAAATGCCATGTTTTCAAAACAAAATAAAACCCATATCATTGGAGTTTAATGAAGCCGAGATGCAAAATTTTTTTATATCTCAACTTCCAGAGTCTGCACTGGCTCAACATAAGTAAGAATCTATAAAGTTCAGCAAGAAAATCAGATAGCATATAAACTTCTGCAAAATTATACTTATATATATTTTTTTTTAGGAAAGGTAGAACTGCTAACGAATTAGGCAATTCGGAGACTCATGAGAAGTCGAGTGAGAATTTATCTGAATTGTATTCTATTATTTTGAATAATGCTACACAATCAGTTATAATGCTAGAAATTCATTCATTGAATTTTGAGATTTTAGACTGTTGTGCAGCTTTTTTAGAATTAGAATACAATCAAGATCCTAGTATATAAAACATGGAGAAAAGTTTGAGAAATTTGCAAGAGAAGCATTTATTTCTGCCACAGGTAAATTTAACCAAAGTACCTAATGTTTTAAGATTGTACTTTTTTTGTAGGGTTTGCAGTTGTAGAGTGTGGATTGGTAATTCCTCACAATAATAGATGGCTCGGTTTCTCTTCTGATGGGATTATTTTTGAAAACGATTTACCTATAGCCTTATTAGAAATTAAATGTGTTTTTGAAGGTTAATATTTGTTAGTAATTATCAGGAAATATAATTTATTTTCTCTTATGTATTTTAGGATCAAACATGACAATTACCAGTGCTCTACAAGGAGTGGCATATTTAAATTTTATAGCTGGTGAATATTCGCTAAAAAAAAAAGAACAAATATTATGGACAAATACAACTTGGCCTAAGCATCTTAAATTTAAAAGATTGCTACCTAGTTTTGTACGCGTCCTTTGATGACTCCTTTAAAATGATCAAAGTGGAATACGATTATCAATTTTGTAAAAAGATGTTGTCAACTTTAAAAGAAAAGTACATGAAACACATGGTTCATAATATATGTATTTTTCAAGATTCATGAATTACGAGGGGTAAATGTCTGGTGTACTATAGTGTACAAGCAATCTGTACTATTTGTGTATGTTGTGTACTATAGTGTACAAGCAATCTGTACTTACTATTTGTGTACTATTTTATAACTACCCGAAGAAAAAAATAATTTTGTTGAGGGATGAGGAATACACGAACGACCTTTTATTTTAAGCTGGGACTTCTTTTTAACTGTTCAACCTAATTTTAATTTATTTGTGTACTATTGGGAAACAATGTGTACTAGTGTACATTTTATCTAGGGGTTTTTTCCTTGTCATCACATCACATTTTTTAGTCCTATACTACATGTATATTCGATTCAAACTTGAATATTGTGTCTACAATTTAGAATCCTCATTATCATACCAACATTGCCAAAGTAGAATAAGGCGAAGAAGGGTATTCAACTTCTAAAATGTCTTATTAGAATATTTTTAGGCAACCGTATTTGTTATAAATGCCATCCTCGAGCCCTTCATTAAAAATATTTTTTCTAGGCCCACATTTGTATTGTTTATTTTAAGCATAGACTGCAGAACGAAAAAGTAGGCTATTGTGTTCTACTGAACAAATATAATTTAACCCCGCTATTAAGAACACTGTATGGATATGAAATAAACCAATCGCAGTTCATATTTGGTCACCAGGATACTATTATTTTTAAAATATTTAAATAAATTACAATTCTGTTAAACTTATTATTGTCAGTATATTTTTTAGTTATTGAGATTAATTGCAAATGAGTGATTCTTGTGAATTGATAAATAATGGCACTTCAACAGATATTTGTCAATATTTTCAAATAAATCTAATATTAATTTATAATAAAAAAAAAAAATGTATCTCATTGGTACGGAAGCAGAAGTAGTGTGGCTTCACTTTTATGTTTGTATAAATTATTTCATACTCTTATTGACTGCCTAAAATTTATTTCAATGTTCCATAGTTTCATTTAACAAGATGTGTTAGAAAAACATCCAGAACAAATGTCTTTTTAAAATACTCTATTAACACATGTACAAGTACTAATTTTAATAACATAAAGGTCTGTTCAGATTCTTCTAAAATACATTAAGAAATATCATAAGGCTAGTTGACCAGTGGACAGTTTAATGATTGTAAACGACGAATAATTTGAAATTCAATTGTTCCCCTGGTTCTCGGACGGTTTGCATCAAGTTTTAAAGAAACCCGAACAAATCTTTAGTTATTCATGTGATATATTTTTAATACATTAAATGAAAATGTACAGCTTAAAATTTATGATTAATTTTGCTCTTGACAGAATACTATTTTTAATAATTATATTTATCTTTACTAGTCTTAAGTTTACTAATCATTGTGCACAGTTACATTTTGAAATGAGTGATTGTACATTGATAATGTATGTTTATATTTTTTTATATTCTGTAATGGGATAGTTAAATCTGTTGGTACAAAAGGCTATTATTTAATAAACAATAAACATTAAAAATAAAATATTTTTTTATTTTTTTCTCTAAACAAAATATGCCAATAATTACAAAAAATATATAAAAGGTACATGTACATGCTAAAGATATATTATTAATAATAGTAAGAATAATAATAATAAATGGTCTTTACTAAGTTACAATAGACCATCGACCGAAGTCCTTTGGTCCATTGCTAAGGATATATTATGTTTGATACAAAAATAAGTAAAATTAAAATTAATTTTTAATTTAATTTTTGCAATCAACATTTAAAATTTTACTTCAGTTAAATTAAATCTTTTTGTTTGAATATGCAAGTTTTTAATAATTTTATGTTGTCTAATTTTTATAATTTAAAAATTAATTTAATATATAGATATTAATAAACAATTAAAAGTATCTAAACCTCATATATATGTAGCCATTTATAGTCCAAGAGCCCACTGCAAATTTAGACCGTCATCTGATAACGAAATGAAATATGCTTCAGAGGCATGTAAAAATATTGTACTTTACCAAACTGCGCCTGTGCCTATCACTATCCTGAGCAAAATAGTCAAAACAATGGCACTTCCGGTGTCATAATTAGCGAGAAATGTCGTCATTTGATAACGAGATAAGTCTTATGCTATCGGATAGCTATTGATTAATAGAACTTAAAAATGTACCTGTGCCACCGCTTTTCCTGAGCCAAATGCTTGGCACGGCCTATTTATTCAGCCAAAATTCTCGACAAACTTCCGTCATGTGATAACGAGTTAAAACAATATGTATTCGAAGAGGCATAATGTCCCATTCAGGAATATCCGCATGTGCCACGTTTTAACCTGAGCTAAGTTGCTGGCAC